GACGACGGAGAAGAAGAAGAAGAAGAAGAAGAAGAAGAAGAAGAAGAAGAAAGAAGAAGAAGAAGAAGAAGAAGAAGAAGAAGAAGAAGAAGAAGAAGAAGCTGAGCCTGTCGAGTGTTCATCGGTTGACAGATGGGTGTTTGTTTGTTTTTCGATAGACAGAATGTTGCTTGTGCTTTGAGGATGGATTGCTAGGCTTGCTAGACAGTGCCGGGGTTGGAATGCAAACCTAGCTTGTGGGCTATACTGAGTTGCATGTAGCACCCTCCCTAGCGACAAGACTGGTTCTTAAAAAAAAAAAAAAAAAAAAAAAAAAAAAACAGAGTTGCATGTAGCAATCGGACCAAGTAGTATTGGGAACAAGTGTGAGTTTGAACACAAGACCAGCTTTTGGTATGTTACGAGAACTTACGACAGTGTTTGGCTCGAATTGTCAAACATGAGGAAACCTGGAACCAGTGACCTGGTGTATGCTAAGTTGCTGACTGACGTCAGGGTAGTACCGGACTGGACTGGAATGTGATATGATGTGTTGCAGGTGTGAGCTGCCGCCTTTCAGATTCATAATGGCAGATATCGATGCTGTCGGTAGGGTCGATTGATGGGGTCCTCAACTGGTAGAAGTCCTGGTGATGAGTCGGGGTAACTCCTTTCAGTGCTGGGCAGAATTGGAGCACTCGCCGTCTTCACCCGAATACAAGGTACGGTAATTATAGCTGAATTTGGGGCAACTTTGAGTCTAGGTACAGCAATAATGACCGTAACTTGTACTTGGGTGAAGTCTGGTAGTTCCGACCTGTGGGAGTATGGTATAGAAGTTGCCGCGAGCAATCGCTCGCGCGACGAATAGACTATGCTGAAAGTGTTGCTACGGGCTACGATGCTACAAGTGATTTACCTTCTGCTTTACTCTTTTTTGGCAATTTCGAGACATGCTTTTTTGCATGTGTCCTACGCTGGTATTCATTGTGTCTGATAATGTTGTTGTTGTTGTTGTTGTGTGGTATTGTGTGTGTGGTGTGAGTTCAAGGACGCTACAGCCCTGGAGGTGATCTCGATATCACGACCAGTATGGATCCAGTTTTTTATAACACCTCCAAGGGTTGTAGTGGTTACGAGACTTCGTTCGTGCGGCTGAGGGTGCCGGTTCGAGGCCATTTGTGCACGGCGGGGCCCCATGCCCTAAAATACACATTGTTCAGTAACTACTATTGTGCGTTTCTCATGGTGTTCAATGTCCTGAATCACATATTTTGCTCCCTTTTAGACTCTTTAAGGGAACTTTAGAGGGATTAAAATTTTGAATTTTTTTGAAGGGGCATACCTTGGCTTCGTTTTCTGTGTTGAATAAGCCAAGTGCAAGGAAAATGAGCGATAGCGAACTTCAGAAATCAAACAGCATCATACACATGTGACCAGATAAACCAATAGCAGAATTGCATCACGAGTTTCACCAAATAAGAACACAGCAAAAGCTCAAAATTGACAATGTTGGAATAGTCTCATCATCATCAACGAAGAACCAATGTCGATATCTTATCTCGCGCTCGGCGCCTAGACTACAGATGGCGGATCCTATCTAGCCTATCTACAATCCCGCTGATGACGTCAACAGCTCCCCGAAGTACGAGCAGATCTCGGCCAATGCTGTTCGCCTCAAGCACCAGGCATGTCTCTCGTATCACTCACAACCTCGATCCCCAACTCACAGATGCCACATGCACCCAAGGACCATCATGCGCCCCATCCAGCATACAGCAGCGCGGCTCGGCTATGGCTGCCTGCTCCTTCCAGCTCACCCATGAGCGCGTGAGCGCTGGCCAGCGTTAGTGCAGCAGCGCTTGCACAGCATGCAGCCAGTGCCCGAATGCGCAATGAGGAAGCAGGGCCTTTCCTAAATGGAAGTGGCCTGCCTGCTGCTGCGGCCAGGCTGTTCTGGACCCTCGCCCGGAAGCTTCCGGTAGGCCTGACTGGCCGAGCCCCAGTCCATCCAGAACAGGCCCAGGGCCTGAGTTAGTTGCTCGTACCCAACTGCCCACAGCCTGTGTTCGGTCCGTATACTCGTCTGGCCCAGGGCGTACTTCAGATACATTTGCAAAATGGATGCCTGGGCCTGGGCGATTGTAACCAACTGACACCTCGCAACTGTCTGAATTTCCCCAGTTGCATGGAGGCCTGAAAAAGGGCCCCTAAGGCCCTGGTCAAGCCTGCCTTCACTTAGGGTGGCCGACAACACTGCTACAGGGCCAAAGGGGCTCATCGGGGCCTTAGGCCTCGCACAAGCTACACCCCTTTAATAAACTTCAAAATTTGGAGATCACAACCGGCCAACAGTTGTTTGTACGATTCAATTTACACAATGTTTCGCCTTTCCCTCGGGATTTTTTAATCATTTTTTTAATTTTGAATTTTCTGAATTTCTTTCATTTATGAACCTTTTTTGTTTTTTTTTGCATTGGGACCGCCGAGGTGGGACCCCGGTAAACCCTGGGACCACTAGCCGCTCGGATCATAATGTAGCTTGGAGGTTCCTTTTCTCATTCAAATACGTCATCGATTAGCCGTCAATCAAACCGCAGGCCGTAACTAACATAACAGCTGTGTTACCAACCAGGTCGCTCGGGTCACGTTGATCGACTGGGGGGCCCGGCCAGGAAAGGGCCCTGTGGGGGATGGGGGGAGGATTGGGGGGAAGGGGGGGGGCAATCGAAAAGTCCGGGAAAAAATGTTGTGCAGAAAAATGAACTGAACAACTTCTGCCTCAGGTCGGATCGAAATTCTTTGCCAAATAAAAAATGAAAATCAGTTTACTTTTCTGCACAACATTTTTTTTCCGGACCTTTTTATTTTTATTTTTCTTTATTTTTAAAGAGGGACCTTCCCTGGCCCTTTCCCGGCCAGGCTTCCCGGTCAACCAACGTGACCCGAGACGGCCCGGTTGGTAACACAGCTGTTATGTTAGTAACCGCCTGCGGTTTGATTGACGGCTAATTCTGGTAACATGGCATAAAAATGATAAAAGTGAATTTGTTCCTTTTTTTGAATTTTTTTCCCATTTGGTTGAGGTAACTGAGTTGACAGGCAAGTGTCAATGTTCATTGATTGAAAGGAATCTGAGACAACTCAGTGAAATTGTTGCTTTTCCCCCCCCTTTTACATGGCGTGAATTTCTGCTAGGTCTTGTTCTTGCCAGGAAAGTAACTTGTGCAGTTTACCTCATGAAGCCGTGCATTTTGCCATAATGAACCATTTCCAGCTGTGCCGCATTCCAAAGCTGCACAAAAACATCAGACAAAATTCACAAAACGACTGACAACGTGAGTCATCTCTCTCTCTCTCTGTGTGTGTGTGTGTGTGTGTGTGTGTGTGTGTGTGTGTGTGTGTGTGTGTGTGTGTGTGTGTGTGTGTGTGTGTGT